CGGGCTGCCGCCTCAGCCACCGCAAGAGCGAGATGAGCCCCGGAGCGCAGGGCAGGACACGCCCCACGCCGCGCCTGGCGGAGCCGCTCACCGAGGTCGTAGGCGCTGCTGAGGAAGTCTATCATGAGGGTGGGCTGCGCCAGGTGTGGCAGGACGGAGTCGTGCATGATCACCAGCACCTTCTTGTACAGGCTCAGGGGCAGCTACAGAGCCACAGTAGGTCACGGTGCAGCCCCCAGGAAGACTGGGACCCCTCACAGGAAGACCGGGGTGCCCCCCAACCCTAGGATGACCCGAACATCCCCCTGATTTCTGGAAGACCAGGACATGTCCCCCAACCCCAGGGAGACTGGGACATCCCCCCTACCTTGTGCTTGAGGAGGCTGAGCCACATGGCCTGGAAGGCCTTCCTGTGTTCCTGCAACGGGGCCAGGCTGCACTGCCACCCTCCCCACCCGACCCGGAGCCCAGGCGCTGCTGGCCCGGGCCCTGGAGCCCCCAGCCCTGACGGCACACGCCGCTCCCGTCGCTGCCGACCCCCTCCTGCCCCCTCCCCGTCCCTGCTTAAGTGGGGAGCGGCTGGAGCCCTTGGAACTCAAGGACCCCAGGCTGGGCCCGGAAGCTCAAGGTCTCAGAAATGCCAGAGGAGAAACCCCCGCGAGACGAGGGGAGGTAAACATTCCTCATGGACACAGAAGGGCGGAGCGTGCACCACATCTAACACCGTCCACAGAAACAACACGTGGCTACGAGGCCTGTGTGTGGCCCTGGTGGCCTCGCCGGTTGGCACCGCCCTCCTGGGAGATTTCTTTGGCAAAGCAGGGGGTGGTGGCTGGGCCTCTGAGGGTCCCACACATGTGGACATACATCTACCACATACGTGGGCCGTGCCCACTAGAGGGGAGAGGCCGGGCCCTGGAAGGCTGCCCACCCCTCCAGAGTGACTCACCCTCAGATGAGTGACTTTCCACTTGTCCGACGGCCCTGCAAGGATGCAGGGGCCAGGGGTCACCCGACACGAGGAGGGAGGCTGCTGGCCCAGCCCTGCTCTCAGCCCCTCCTGCCGGGACACTCACCCGAGCGCGGCACGTAGAAGTTGGAGAGACTGCGCTCCTGGCGGGGCAGGCTCACGGCAGACAGCAGCGTGAAGGCGTTGTTCCAGAAGGTGAGGGACACCTGCCAGGAGCCTGGCCTGAGCATCTGGCCGCCACCCCCACCACCCACCTGCAGAAGGAAGACGGGACCTGGCCACTCACCTCAGGGTGCCGGTCGCTGACCCGGGCCAAGGCGTCCGCAGCTGCCTGCATCGTGTGGTAGCGGATGTCGTCATACTCCAGATACTCCCGGAACTGGGAGAGCAGCAGGCTGTGGTCCTCCTCGGGCGAAAGCAGGCCTCCCAGCACCAGCTGGGGGCAGAGAGGGGTGAGCACCTCTCCCCGTGCCCAGGCGCAGTCCAGCAGCGTCCAGGCAGGCTGCTGTCGCCCGCCAAGCCCCGCTCCAGAGGCCGACTGTCACAGCCAGACTGCTTCCCACGACCGACGGATCAGCACGGAGACACCCAAGCAGCCAGACTCACCCCTACAGGGAGGGGCAGGCAGAAGTGTCCCATCCAACACCCACCTGCTCAGCCAGCCCACGCTGGGGGCCATCCCTGGCTCCACCCCATGAGGTTCTTTGACAGCACCACCGAGGCCCTCACCTTGAAGAGCTTGCGGGGGAACAGGTAGTTGCCTTCCCACTTGGGCTTCTCCAAGGGGTGCGTTCCTTCCAGCTGCACGAACTTCAGGAGAGTGCTGAGGGCCAGCTCCTAGGAAGCAGGGTCAGAGTGGCCGTGACGCACCCCCGCACCCCACAGACGGTTCCCAGAGCTCCCCCCAGCCAGGGCTGGGCCAGGCGGCACAGAGAGAAAGGGGACCCTGCCTTCGCCTGCTCTGGCCGCTCTCTACGCCTCCACATCCCACTGCTGAGACGGCAAGATGACAACGAGGTCTCAAGTCAATGAGGTGTGGGCCGGGAGCACACACAGGCCAGACCTGCATCACTGGGCCACCTGTGTCCAGGCAGGCTGCTGTCGCCCACCAAGCCCCACACCAGAAGACTGCTTCTCGCAAGCAGTGGACCATGGAGATCCATGTGTGTCACAAGGAATGTCACTCTGAACCTCGGTGACAGTCATGAAAACACGAGCATGAGAAACCCACAGGGCTCAGCAGCTCTAGTCCCACGGTCACAAGTGGGTGACACCATAGAGTGAAACAGCAGCCCCAGCCAGGGAGGCCTGTCCACTCCCAGGGAGCCCATCCTGGGCTCTGGCCAACAAGGCCCTTGGGGAGTCAGCCATGGGCCAGGTCACCAACTTCTTTAATGGCTCTATTGGGACATAATGCGTATGTTGTGTAATTTGCCACTTGAAGCGTACGGGCCAGCGTTTTTTACTATGTTTGTGGAGTTGCGCAACGCCTGTCTAAAGGGATTCCCGACTCCCCTCAAGTCAGTTACTGCCACGAACAAACACGGCCCCGATCTCGACAGAGCTGCTGATTTTTGTGAGAAGCTGGAAACAGGTGTTTATACGTGACATCACCCCAGCTTTTAAAAGCCGGGACTCGGGTTCAGCCAAGACGGACGTGTTGGCGAGGACACAGCGCACATGGAACCCTGGCACACTGCCAGCAGGCATGCGAAATGGTGCCTCTGCTGTGGAAAACAGCCTCAAACCTCAAAATAGTCCTCAACGTGTCAAACGCAGAATTGCCCCGTAACCCTGCAATTCCACTTGTAGGACACATCCAAGCAAATAAAAACATCCACACAAAAATACACATGCAAACGTTCATAGCTACACTGTAACAGCCAAGAGGTGGCAACGGCCCAGATGTCCCACCACGTGTGAACGGATCAGCAGGACGCAGCACACTATACACGCTGAGATGCGACTCAGCCACAAAAGGGAACGAAACTCTGACTCGGTCACGACTCGGACAAACCTCGAGCAGGTCGCGATGAACGAGAGAGGCCAGACATGAAAGGCTACGTATCACATGATCCCACTTAAGTGAAACATCTAGGAAAAGCACAGCCACTGACAGAAGGCAAATTAGTGGTTGCCAGGGCTGGGGTGCGTGGGCACGAGGACTGGCTGTGAATAGGTAGAGGATTTCTCCTTGGGGTGATGAAGACGCCCTGGAGCTAGGTAGTGGTGCGTGTTGCACGGCCCCGTGAATGTGGTCAAAGACATTAACTTGCGTGCTTTAAGTGGCAAATCGTGTGTCATGTGAGTTACGCCACAGCAAAGCTGTGACACAGCTGGGGACCCATTCCCGTGGCTGCAGACTGCAGCATGGGCTGGCACAAGGCTGGGTGTGTGGGCTCCACTGAGTGCCACTGGCTCTGGCTCTCCCTCCGCACCTAGCCAGGGACGGTACAGGACCGGACAGCCACATTCCTGGACAGGCATGAAGGCCCGCCACACGATCCTCCTATGTACAAGTCAGGGAACAGAGCAAGGCTGCCCGCCAGGAAACTAGCCGAAGGAAGGAAGCATCCTTACCCAGACAAGAGTCCAAAGAGATATCTGCACCCGGGCCCTGGACCTCTGCTGTGTGGACAGCCTGGGAGGTGGGGGGCGCAGGGGATGGACAAAGATGAAGCCGGCTCCGTGACCCCCACTCACCTTGACCTGAAAGGAGGAGTGGGCCAGGAGCTCCCCCAAGCGGTTGCAGCAGCTGTGGTAGCGGTGTCTCATCCACACCTTGTACTTGCGCACGGCTCCACGGGACCCTGCAAACAAAGTCACGGTGGTCATCCGGCCACACTGATGCCCACATATACCAGGCTTGGCCCAGCCCAAGGTCCTGACTACCTGCCCCCCAGTTACCCTCTATTTCGTCTCTATAGTTGGAGACAGGTCACCATGGCCCCCAGGCAGGTGCTGGGACCAGCGAATTCCCTGGGCCCTGCACACAGAACAGCTCCTGCCCCAGGACAGCCCCCAGCCAAGCTTCCAGGGTTAGGACCCCATCCCCTCTCTTTACTCCAGGATCTGGAAGTCCCGAAGACTGGGACACAAAGCCCCGACTTTAAGTGACGCTTAGTATCAGCACCAAGCACCACCACCACGTCCGTGGTACAGAACACATGGGAAAAAGTCCGGCCTCGTTCAGTGTCCACTTAAGCCTGGCTCCAGCATACCTGTCTCACCTTTTCCCCAAGAGAACCATCTACATCTCACCGTACCTGGTGTGCCCTCCCGCCACCCTCACGCCCAGAGACAAGGTTCTGGGGTGCTCATCCCATGGTGACAAAGCCTCCCTCCGACCCACTGTGCGATCAGAGAGCCGGGGACCAGGGAGCAGCGCAGGCCCCTCCAGGGCGCTCACCTGCCATGACCATCTCCTCAGAGGGCAGCGGGCCCACGAACAGCTCTCCGCGCTCCAGCAAGGCCCCAAAAAGACGGCTGCACGTGCGCACCGCTTCCTGGATCTCCTCCTGGTCCTCGGACTGCGAGACAGGCCGGGGTCAGGGCGCCCCGCGGGAGCTGTCACACCCGCTCCTGCCCTCTGTCCCACCGCACCCCCCGGCCCCGCGCGACCTCACACGCCTGCGCCCCGACCCTCCGGCCCCGTCTCCGAACCTCCCCGGGACCCGGCCGCGCCCCGCGCCGGCACCTGCAGCACGGCCAGGATGTCGAACACGGCGTTGGCCTGGCCGCGGCTCGCCAGCACCGCCTCCAGCCAGCGGCCCAGCGATTGGCGCGCGCTCTCGGGCCCCATCTCCCTCTCCATGCCGCCGCCGCCGCCGCCGCCGCCGGTACACACGACCGGCGCGCCGCCCGTGACGTCACCGCAGCGCGCCGCTGGCGCCATCTCCACGCGCGCCTCCCGTGACGTCACCGCAGCGCGCCGCTGGCCCCATCTCCACGCGCGCCTCCCGTGACGTCACCGCAGCGCGCCGCCGACATCGTCCCCACACGCGAGCCTCAGCGGCGTGCGCGGCCGGCCATGGCGCTGTTCCACGTCGCGCGGTACCCGGGCCCCGAGGCGGCGGCGGCGGAGGAGACGGGGCCGGGCGAACGGGCCCGCGCGCTGCTCGAGCGGCTGCAGAGCCGGGCCCGCGAGCGGCAGCAGCGGGAGCCCGCGCCTTCCGAGGCGGACGCGCCGTCCGAGGCTTCGGGCAGGCGGCGGCGGCGGCCACGGAGGCGGCGGCGAGGGAGTCCGGAGGCGCCGGGGAGCCCCGAGGCGCCGCAGGAGAAGCGGCGGAGGGCGGATGGCGAGCACGCGGACGCGGGTGGGCCGAGGCGGACGCGGGTGGACCGGGGCAGGAGGGCCGGGCTCCCCTTCGGAGCGCCGGCGCCTGGGGGCTGACCTCGACCCGGCCCGTGTTTGCGCGCAGGGAGCAGCGAGGAGGCGCCGGGGGAGCGCGGCGGGCGCTCCGAGGCGGCCCCGGACGGACGGCCCGCGGAGGAGGTGGCCGAGCCCGCGGCCCCTGCCCTGGTGCTGGGGGGCTTCGGGAGGAGGAAGACGTCGAAGGTGAGCTGCTCGCGTGGCGGCGCGGACGGGCTCGGGCGGGGAGGAGAGCGTGGGTTGAGCGAGCATTCCCGGGCCGCCGCTGGCTGCCGAGCCCGCGGGCTGATTTCTGTTAGGTCCGGAACCGAGAGAGACACGCGAAGCCTCATGTGTAGCAAAACGCTGTTTATTTTGGGCATCTGGGTGCGGATGGGTGGAGGCGAAAAAGCGTCCACGAGAGAGAAGGGGGAGAGCCTTGGGTTTTTCCCAGGGGAGTAAGTAAGTGGGCCGGAACGGCTGCTTGTAATAAGTTTTTTGTGCAAATAATCAACTCCTGAGGCCCCTGCCCCAGTCACATCCGTCCTTCAGCTCTGGCGTCGTCCTTACGGGGAGAGCTAGGGACGGGCAGCCTTCATCTCTGTCAGGGAGGGAGGGGAGGGAACGCGGCTGCAGCTGTCAGATGTACAAAGTCGGGGACTCCCTGGACTCCTGTGGCTGTTGTTTCACAAGCCTGAGTGTTGCATTAACCACGTTCTGTCCTATACATATTTTTCGGGTTCCCACTTGGAACAAACCTAGCATTACACCCTATTTGTTATATACATATAAGAAAACGAAGGGTAAGGTACTGGGAAAGGTAAAAATTAACCATTAGATTAGGAAGTGGGCATTGTTGTCTTTCTGACTGTTTTTTGTTTTTTCTGTTCTTGGAGATTTGGTCATCTTTGAAATGCAGTCAGGCCCATCGCAGGGGATGTGATCTTGGTCCCTGAGATTTGGTTTTGGGCAGGAAACAAAGGCTTGGAGTTTAACCCCCTGCAGTCTGTCGCAGAGCTTTGCAGGAACACTTGGAGGCTGTAAAACAAATTCTAAAAGCTGTGAGCTGGAGAAATGTAAAGAGAAAGATTTACATTTTTTTTTTTTCTGGGCTGTTTTAGAGTCCTAGCAGGTTGCCTGCTACTTTGGGAGAGAGAGAGCAAAGAGTAGGGAGAGCTCAGAATTGATTTTTAGCTGTCATTAGAAAATTGGGAGATTTAAGGATGTCCTAACATTCCCCCTTTTTGTTGTTAAAATTAAATTTTTATGTAAAATGAACTCAGAAGTTGGGAAAATGAGCAGAGATCTTTCTTCTGTAGCTTCTTGAAGCTGATTGGGAGGGATGTAGAGATCTTTTCATTTATTAAAAGGGAGGGGGTTGAAAACAGACGGTCTAGAAGTTAGAGTAGAGGCAGGATGGGTTTTACTGGAGAGATAATGAGGGCCTGAATTTTACTAGATAGTGGAGAATGTAGGGTTTGAAAATGAGACTTGAAAGTAGAGCCACTAAGGGGCCTCAGTCAAGAGTTTAAGATCACGCATGGCGAGAAGAGCTCAGTTTTGAGAAGGTAGAGAGGTCTCCTGGACTGTAGGCAGATAGAGATGTCATAGAGCATCCATAGCGGGGGATGGAAAATAAGATTATTATTATTAGGGTTTCCAGCGTAGGCAAAGGACTGACCAGCCTGGTGTGTAAGCTGGGCTGCGGCGGCGCTCACAGAATGACACGAGACGTATACAGAGGAGGCAAAGCACGGTGAGGAGTCGTGTCTCCCACAGCACGTTATCAGAGCCTGGTATCCGCGATGGGCTGGACTTTCAGGGAGCTCCCCATGGGCAGAAGCAGGTTCTGGAGGGCCTGTAAGTTTGAGTGCTGAGAGATAGATGACTCTTGGACGGGATTGCAGAAGCTTAGCTGTAGTGGTAGAGGCAGTGAGAGAATTATTTAAAAGGTTGAAGGAGGCCCAATTTGTTCTGGGAAATCCTTAAGTAAACTTTAGTCTTTAGGCTGTAAGTGTTGTGGTCCCTGTAAGAAACCATTCAGTGAGCTTTATTGCTGGCAGGTAGGCGCCAGGTGGGGGTGATGGAGGAAGACAAGGGAACCGAATTGAACTTACTCCCTTTAATAACAATTTTAAAACTAGTTTATCGAAGGTCACTAAGGTCACGTGAAGTAAAAGGCATTTGAGTTCTTCCAATGTTCTTAATACAATTTGATATAAGTGTCAACGGAAAAAAAGACCAAACTCTGTAAAATAATTTTAAAGAGATTTATTCTGAGCCAAATTTGAGGACCATGACCTGGAGCCACGCCCAAGAGGCCTTGAGCAAGTGGACTCGCTGTGGCTGGGTCACCGTTTGGTTTTATACATTTCAGGGAGACAGGGGTTACAGGTAAAGTCATAAATCAGTGTGTGGGAGGCATACATTGGGTGGGCCATCTCGAAGCGGGGCTTGCAGGTTTAAAGATTCTTTGGCTTGTAATTGGTTAAAGACATGAAGCTTTGTCTACAGGTTTGGAATGTTTTAACATAGGAGCTGTATATCAGAGATGAGCCACCTCACATAGACTTCTTGTGTAAATTGAGGACCTGCAGGTTTGTCTTGCAAACCCTTAGGCCTGTTAATGGGTTACAAATGATGTCCCCAAGAAGGGAGGGGTATGATGAGGCCTGTCTGACCTTCCTCCACCTGGCAGGCAATTTAGTTTTAGGGTATTCCTTTGGCCACGAGGGGGTCCATTTAGTCAGCCGGTGGGGGGTGAGCCTTAAAATTTTATTTTAGTTCACAATTCTCTCCTTTTGGCCAAGATCTGTCAGAGGCAGCATCTATGGCCAAACTTTCATTTTGTCCCATCTGTTGCCAGGGGGGTGTGGCTACCTGCCCTGGGTCCATCCAGTCTCTCGGTGGGACCCTCGTCGCCAAGAGGACTGAAGAATCGAAAGGAGGCTCACAGCCAATTAAGTATTTTAGGCCAAACAGGACTGGAGGCAGACAGGCATCCGTCAGTAATTTAAAATCTTCTACGTGACATAAGAGTAAAGTCCAAAATGTCAAAGGCAAGGCTACAAAAGTAACTTACCTATGAGTGTTGAGCTATTACATTCTTGGGCTTAGTGGTAGTTTTGTAGCAAATATAAGCATCATTAATGTTTAAGCTAAGGGAATTTAGAGACTTTTATTGTGTCATAATATTTTAGTCTTTTTAGTAATTTATACTAAGA